AGAACCACACCTCTACTATTTTATTATACTGTTCAGTTGATTATTAAAATCAAGTTCTTTACAGCCCACTAGATGGTTGTTGTGCTTGAGTTTTTTTTTTTTTTTTTTCTGGTGAGCTTGGTCGCAATCATTATGCAGCGAGTTAGTAAAATAAAGATGGCAGCATTGTGGAAGACTCATACATCATTTATTTCTTTTCCAATAATAAAAATCTTTTCTTTATTAGATGTGTTTTTCAGCACTAATTCTGTTTTACTCAAACTATTAAAACAACAAAACAAGTGGTGTTAAATCTGTTCTAGAGTTTTATCATACCCTGATTTATTGCTGTTGATGTGTTTTTTTTACTGTTATAAAGAATTTTATCTTAAAGTGATATTTCTTTAAAAAAAAAAATTGTATCTGTTTTTGTCATGACATAGCCAGAGAATCTGATATGGCATTAAACACAAAACTCTCAGCATCATCATCTTCCTGGATTAAAAGCTTTTGCTAAACGCACAAAAGCAAACCGTCCCTAACCCAGGGTTAAAAAAAAAATTAGAGTGACAAAGTCTGGTCCTATATTGCTTCTTAAGTAGATTTTTCTACTTGTGAAAAAAAAAAGCCATCAGTAGTTTTTTTCATTGCAGATCAATGTTGTCAATTCCTAGCAAGGCTTTTGGCTACAACCCACAACACTCTTGCAACTTGCGCACACTCACTAACGTTGTCTTCAGAAGCGGGTGATTATCACTGAAAATGCAGCAAAAAGCTTGAGCTTTCGAACGTTGCTTCTGAAAACAGCAGGTGTCTTGTCTTGCTCGCCCAGCAGAGTAGTGTGTTCACCTGCGAATTAGATGGGCTTCACTGCAGTCTAATTGGCATCTCCATGGTGACAGAATAGCACTTTCACATTTCCCCTCACAAATGCTTTGAAAACACTTTGCAGGAAATGAGGTTCATCCTTGTTCCATGTTCATTAAATCTGTGTGTTTTTGTTCACACATGCATTGTGAATTTTGTGAACCACAGCATATGCGTTCGTTATATTAAAGGTCTTGTACGTACGGTTTTGACTCTTCTAAAGCATAAAATACCAAATATTTGCAGATATTTAAGAAACATGCCAAGTGAACGTTTATGTTTATCTGAAAGAAGTTAGATATTATACTTTGAAAATGCGCATTACATGCCAGAACGTCTTTTTTTTTTTTTTTTTTTTTTCGGTCACTTGAACTCCCCCAATGCCAATTTAGCCAGTTGTATTTTGGCACCCCTGATTGCTTTTGTGGAAAACGGTGTATTTCATTCATTAAGTCAGGAAGGCTCTCAAAGTGTGTTCGCAACCGAAATGCGACCTCCGGTGGACAGACTCTGGAATTAGACGCAGATTTAGAGTTCCACATGAAGTGGTTATTAATTTGCAAATAACATAAATATTATGAGTATTAGGTGAGCAGGTTACATTGTAACTCAGTGTCCTAACAACACACTACGTGAGGAGATAAGCAGGGATAAGCAATTTGGCTGTTTGCACCAGACGAAACACGACAGAAATTGCCATTTAGAAGCACAGAATAGTGCACTTACTGCACTCCTATGAAATGGTATTATTTTTAATCTTATTAATGCATATTAACCCTCTTTAACATCATTAAATGTACATGGTGAATTAACAATATGTGTTGCTTATACTGAGTCACAGTTCTATCTCAAAGTTCCATTTCAAACTGTTTATTTTATTTTTAAGATCTGAGGTGAACTATCTGCTGCTGCTTTCAGTAGTATAGTAATAAATGTCATGTAAAATGGCATTCAACCTCGCATTATAAGCATTTAACACTGAATAAAGCACATGAGGTGTACCCGAGGTGATCGGTTTATCCTGTTGTTCAGCTGCAAGAAATAGAAGTCATTTCTAAAATATAAATTTCAGGTGTTGGTTATAACAAAAACTCTTTTTAATATGTAAAATATTCTTTCTATCGCGTGCCCTTGCTTTTTTAAAATGCAACTTAAATTAGCTTTCAAGCTCGATAGTCAGGCACGCTTGGTGTTGTCAATCTGGCAACCTGCACTTGCGAGCATTTTAAACCAGGCTTGCAATACCTAGTTCAACCACTGCATGTCAAACTTACATGCTGCACTTTTAACATTCAGATAAGGACGGGGAAATGCAGGATTCATGATTATTTTGCACTCTTTGTTTAAATTAACCATCAAATTCATTTTTAAACACTCTACTTATTCAGCTTAAAAAAAAAGAGTACAGCCTCCATTTAACACGTTTGAAAATTCTAATAAAGTTCTGCGGAAGCTTTAAATGAAGGAAATTTGTATTCTTCCCTATTAGTGTATTCTGTTACTGATGTCAGTCTAAACATTTAAGCTTTATTGAACAATTACATTACACATAATCACCATTATCATAATATATTTAAGTATATTGTTATTTCATTGTGGTTATAATAATAATAAATTATTAAATTAGTCAACTGAATAATTGGATGTCTAAAAACATACCTTTAAAGTATCTAGTCTTTAACTCATATTTTTTTTACTGAGTTGCACACTATAAATTAAACATGATTAATGGCCAACTCAAAGCTTCTTTTGAGTAGTTTTTGTAAAGACAAGAAAAATGATTATCCATCATCCACCATGATCAAGACCCTGATCCTCAATCAGCAAATTTATCCCACATATGAAGATACTTGTAAGTAAATAATGACTCGGCACTTTAGATTTCTTGCTGCAGCATATAACTCCACCAGCATTTCCATAGTAAATCTTGAATTCACATTTTTGGTAAGAATTGGTCATTTATAATTTCTTCCTGCCTCCAGTTTAATGTTAGAGTTGTATGGGATGCTTGTTTTATTGTAATCATTGAGACGATGATGGCGATAGATAAATAAAATACGGCTCTTCCTCTTTTGTTACATGTGAAATCATTAGACTTGGAGGCTTATCAGTCTGAGAGTGCTGAATGCTGCGTTTTAGTTAAGTTTACATTACAAACATTTCTAAACAGGTGGCATTCTTGTTGCTTTAGTCAGGTGACCAATTTGTGGAACATCTTTTCAGTTGTGCATGAAAGTAAGCTGGACATGTCAAAACAAATAGAGTGCTTTTATTCAGTTTCTTAAATTTTAAAAACTCAATTTTAGGCCTTCTCAAATTCACTGAAATATTGTGTTGTAAGTCTTAAATCATTTTAAACTGGTCTTAACTTAACTTAACACCAACAATTCATCTCTGTAAAACATTTATCAGGTTTTATTTATAAATCTATTTTCCAATATGATTTATTTTTGTTCTTTACAATAACATTTGTTTACATTGAACAGTATTTATAGCAACCTGGTGAGGACACTGACCTAGATAAGTACATTTAGTTTATAGTTTTTAAAGCTCGTCAATAATAATAAAAAAACATAACTAAAAAGTAAATAACAAAACAGATTCCTTGTTTTGGCACATTAATTCAACTAAAGCTGCATCTCAAATGGCACACTATGGACTCATGCACTATATACTTAAACACTTACACACTCAACAGCTTAGTATATGTATGTAGTGTTGTTCCAAAAGGAACACAATTTTTTTTTTTTTTTACAAAGCGGAAATTCAAACTGTTTCTGCAATGACGTTTGACGGTTGCCAAATTAATGAAATAAATGAAGAAACTACCTAATAATACCTTGCTTGAGTATAATCACATTCACCTTCAGGAGGCAGTATAATCACTCTTGATGGAGAATTTTGCTTTTACACCCTAAAATAAATAAAGTAGCTCAACAGCACCCGATAGCTCCGCAGAAGTTGTGATAGGGTATTTGGGATGTGGTGGGTCTTTTAGGTTATTAAAGGTGTTTTCTGTTACTGCGTGTTTAGCCTGCATTAATGCATTCAGTGTATGCTGCTCGATTAATCATTAAAATATCAGGATCTCAACACCCACACAACATAAATGATAAATGATGGTGATTTGCATATGTTTATTAATCTTTCGAATCGCTGCATTCATATCTGTGTTTGAAAAATGCAAAATCAAGAAAGAGATTCAGTTTTGTATTATTTTGAGTTAGTTATAAAGTTACAAACGGTCAAATAACACAGAAGTACTGGGTTAACAGTTTATAGTTTAGATTTAACCACTGATGTTTATGGTAAAATGTAAATTACAGTCATATGCATTTAACGAAGCTCTAATATGAAAGTTGTAGGCAGCAATTACATTATTTAACCAAACAACAGCCATCAAAAATATGCGACTGAATAATTCTTTAAAATAATGACACATCTAGCAATGAAACAGGAAGTTTTATGAGTGAATAACTGAATCATTTATTGAAAATGAGACTAAAAATAAATATGGGTTGTATGAAGTATAATGTTAGATTTCTACATTTACCATTATCAGCAACAGTAGTAATAAGAGTGAATTTTTCACAATAATAAATATTTCACAATTTAGTTTTATTCAGCTGATTATTTCTTTTAATTTTTATGTCAGATTACAGGTTCTAAAATCTGTTTGTTAAACCCAAAAGTGTCTTACAGTGCTGTTTTTGTAATAAATGGAAAGCAAGTTACATTTGTCTCCTCCCCTGTTTGTTTAATCCAAAAAATTGATCCGTGAAATCAAAAGATCAAAAATTGATCTGATCTGTGACAAACCAAACCATGAGATTTGTGATCCATTACACCACTAGAACCCTTGTATTACAGTTTATTATTTTCTTTTAACAAAAAATGAAGATTCTTCCATCATTTACTCAACTTCGATATATTTTTTTTATTCTGTGGAAGACAAAATATAATTTATAAACCGTTTCTAGATTTATTTATTTAGATTTTTTTATTTGATTGACCTATACAAATGGCCTTATCAATATTCCAGTCTTGCTTATGAATAATATTTTCAATATATGACTAATAGACATGTCTTAGTTTGTGGTGTTTTCTGTTATACTTTATTGTGATTGACTTTGGATTATTTTGTATCATCACAGGTGAGTCTGGCTCTGTGGTACTGTACTTTAACCTGACCCGAGACTCGACACCCCCCCTTCCCCAACCTCCCTACCACCCTGCCCTGCGCCCCACACACCTCTAGCCCAGCATGAACGAGATCAGCGTCGTCAGAGAGGGCTGGCTCCACAAAAGAGGTGCGGTCCGCTCACTCATTCACTGGAACTGTCTGTTTCCTATTTTCTGCATTGCAAACACGGAATTGTTGTCTTCCGTGTCTCTGTTTGTTTTGCGCTTAATATTCTTCACGTCTACTTCCTTATTTCTCTTCCTCCTCCTGTGTACAGGTGAATACATTAAGACTTGGAGGCCTCGATATTTCATCCTAAAGAGTGATGGCTCTTTTATCGGCTACAAGGAGAAGCCGGAGACGTCAGACGCCAATCAGCCACCTCTCAATAACTTCTCTGTCGCAGGTCTGCCACGTTCTGCTGTGTTTCTCCACACACTCAAACCTGATTGTGTTTCATATAAGGTTTCCTGGTGGGTGGGAATTTCCACGTTGGATGTGATCCTGGATTCACATCTTTCTTGATTCACGTTATTCATAGGGTTTGTGCATTGAATGTGGATTACTTTGATTATTGACGATTTGATACAATCCAGGATAGTTTTGTTCTTCAAATCATATCCAGGATTTGTTGTCAAAGTGACAGGTCTGGTAGCTCAAGTTCAGGGTCATTTCATGGAAACAGGATTAGATTGTGTCATTTCAAGTGAAGATGATATTGAAAGTATGTATCAACTGCTATTTTCTTTAAAGATTACAGTTTTAAATTTGAAAAAATAACAATACTTAAAATTAAAAATCTAATAATCAAAGTATTTATACAATTATCTGAGTAAATGGAACTGTTATGTAATCTACACTTCGAAGTACAAGTCATGGGTTAATACCTTTTAAATGGTTCAAACAGAGAGCTTTGTACTTTTTAGTGGATAATATGTAGCTACACTTTAGGTACTAATACTTTTAAGATGCTAAAATGGAAATTTTAAATGCAAATGCATTCTTTGAAAAGGTACTGCCTCAGTTTAGTACAATTGAGAGATTTCTATTTTTTTTGGTGAAGAAGTAATTGTACACTTACCGTCCACTTTATTAGGTCCAACTGCTTGTTACGCAAATTTCTAATCAGGCAATCACATGGCAGCAGCTCAATGCATTTAGGCATGTAGACACGGTCAAGACGATCTGCTGCAGGGGATTATATTGACTTTGATCGTGGCATGGTTGTTAGTGCCAGACAGGCTGGTCTGAGTATTTCAGAAACTGCAGATCTCCTGGGATTTTCACGCACAACCATTTCTAGGCCTTCTGTGGGCACAACTGCCTTGTTGATGTCTAGAATGGCCAGACTGGTTGGAGCTGATAGAAAGGCAACAATAACTCAAATAACCACTCTTTATAACCAAGGTATGCAGAAGAGCATCTCTGAACACACAACACATCAAACCACAAGGCGAATGGGCTACAGCAGCAGAAGACCACACCGGATGTAACTCCTGTCAGCTAAGAACAGGAAACTGAGGCTACAACTTGCACAGGCTCACCAAAATTGGACAATAGAAGATTGGAAAACCTTTGCCTGCTCGGATGAGTTTTGATTTCGGCGAACAACATGAAAGCATGGATCCATCCTGCTTGTGGGGGATATTTTCTTGGCACACTTTGTGCCCATTTGCTCCAATTAGGCATCGTGTCAACGCCACAACCTACCTGAGTATTGTTGCTGACCATCTCCATCCCTTTATGACCACAGTGTACCCATCTTCCGATGGCTACTTCCAGCAGGATAACGCACCATGTCACAAAGCGTGGATCATCTCAGACAGTTTTGTTGAACATGACAATGATTTCACTGTACTCAAATGGCCTCCACAGTCACCAGAGCTCAATCCAATAGAGCGCCATTGGGATGTGGTGGAACCGGAGATTCGGATCATGGATGTGCAGCCGACAAATCTGCAGCGACTGCGTGATGCTATAATGGACCAAATTCTCTGAGGAATTTTCCAGTACCTTGTTGAATCTGTGCCATGAAGGATTAAGGCAGTTCTGAAGGCAAAAGGGGGTCCAACCTGGTACTAGTAAGGTGTACCTAATAAAGTGGCTTGTGAGTGTATAATTTACAGGAATCATGCACATTCAACATTGAGATGATATGCAGGTGATTTAATACAAGAGATGCAGACGCTTTTCAGATATTAATATCTGGAAGATCCTGAAACCTTTGTCTTGAAATCCTTTGTTCTTTTTGCAGCATCACAGGCAATAAGTCAACAGAGATTGTTTTCCTGTGCTTGCTTTATTTTCTCGAGCCTATTATGTCCTACTTCATGTTAGGGATGCTCATTGTGACCACTTGGTGATCAACATAAAGCAAGAATTTTGGGTTACACTTTATTTTAAGGTGACGTAGATACATTGTAACTATTCATTTAACTACTGAGAAATATAAATTAATTAAATGTGATTAATTAATTACATTAAACTGGTTGCAATTAGAATGTTGGTTAGGTCTATTCATAGTTAAGTGTAATAATACATAATTGGTTGAAATTACTGTAGTAAGTGCATTAAACGTGTAACTACGTCACCTTAAAGAGTTACCAACTTTTGACAGATTAATAGGCCATTGTCAGTTAAATGGCTTAATGAGTGGTTACGTTTTTTAAAAATAAAAATGTTGGTTTTTAATGCACGTTATTATTAAAACATCTGCTGCAAGAATATTAAATCCTGCAGGATACTTAGGTTTGGGGAAAATGTTGATTCTTAGATGCATAAAGCTGCAGACTTGGATTCTGAATTGGTAAACAAAAGTGAAAAATCGGTTTTCAGTTTCTTAATGTTAATTGATGATGATACGCAAAACTCTAAAGAAGTGTAGGGGCTGGAATGTTTGTGGCGATTACATTTAACAGACGCATGTTGACGGTGTGATGACAAATTGAGTTCCCTCTGGAATCTGGTCTGCTTAGGACCCTGTGATAAATGCTTCTTCAAGCCATTATATGTTATTTAAAGCTAAACATTTAACAGTTATGTATATGTATGCATGTATGTATATGTCACAGTGTATGTTTAAGTATGAAGTGTTCAAGCTCAAATGAGTAATGTATAAAGTCAGCTAGCAGGCTAATCAGTATATTTGCTAGAACGTAAGCAAATTAAAACAACAGTATATCTATTTTATATTATTTAAAGCTAAACATTTAACATTTATGTATGTATGTGTATGTATATGGATCTAAACACTGCTAGACAGACTTTCTTTTTAAGCCTTATAAACAGCAACTTAAATAATGCTCGCACACTCTTTGCAACGATAGAGAGACTCACAAACCCCCCAGTCGGATTCCAAGTGAGCTCCTCTCTGAAAGCAAATGTAATGAGTTTGCTCATTTCTTTACTGATAAGATCAATAATATCAGAAAGGCAATCAGCTCATCCATTCAGCCAAGTTGTGTCGATATCAAACAAGCTCAACCACAACTTAAGAAATCAGACATTATGTCTGATTTCATGGCAATTAACGGCAAAATCTTAGAAGAAATTGTGCAAGTTATGAAAACATGACACGCTCCCCACATCATTCTTCAAAACGGTGTTTACCTGTTTAGAAATGGATCTTCTAAAAGTGGTAAATGCTTCACTTCTCTCTGGGATTTTTCCAACCTCACTTAAAACTGCAGTTGTTAAACCCCTCTTGAAGAAGAGCAACCTGGATAACACCCTATTGAGCAATTACAGGCCAATCTCAAATCTCCCTTTCATTGGCAAAATCATTGAAAAAGTTGTTTTTAACCAGGTTAACAAGTTCTTAAACTTCAGGGGGTGTTTAGACAATTTTCAATCTGGTTTCAGAGCACATCACAGTACAAAGAGCGCTCTTATAAAGATAATCAATGACATACGCCTAAATACAGATTCAGGTAAAATAACAGTGCTGGTATTGTTGGATCTCAGTGCTGCATTTGACACTGTCGATCACAGCATACTTCTGGATAGGCTGGAAAACTGGGTTGGGCTGTCTGGCACGGTTCTCAAATGGTTTAGATCTTACCTTGAAGGTAGAGGTTACCATGTCAGTATAGGTGACCATAGGTCAAGGTGGAATTTTTATATTATTTATATAAATTTATTATTTAATATTTAAAGCTAAACATTTAGCATTGATATCTGTTTGCATATGGAACATTGTATGCTTCGATATGAAGTGTAAGTTCAAATGAGTATAAAGTCAGCTAGCAGGCTAATCAATATATGTGCTAGCACGTAAGCTAATTAAAGCAACAGTATAGCTATTATATATTAAGCTGAACATTTAAAAGTTATGTATGTGTATGTATATGCAACATTGTATGCTTGAATATAAAGTACAGGTTAAATGAATGATGTATAAAGTCAGCTAGCAGATTAATCGGTTTAAACGTAAGATGTGTTGGCATGTAGACTAGTAAAACAACGGTATATCAATTTTATATTATTTAAAGCTAAACATTTAACAGTTATACATGTATGTGTATGTAACATTGTGTGCTTGAATATGAGGGGTAAGTTCAAATGAGTTGTGTATAAAGTCAGCTAGCAGGCTTATCGGTATGTGCTAGCACGTAGGCTAATTAAAACAACCGTATAAAAGAAAAATGCATGATTTCACAACCCATGCCTTTGGTTAGTCATCAGTATATGAAATACATATTTTAAAATACATAATTGGTCATTACAATGCCTCTTAAATTATAGAATTTATAATATACTTGATTTGTCATCACATCGCTGCACAAAATCAGACCTATACTGACATGACATGGGGTTGAAACTTGTTTTCAATCCCAAAAATGCTTTTGTCATGTAAACAGGCAAAACAGGCTGAAAATGTTGTCACATGAATGGCTCTTTAATCAATCATTTGAGGTTTATTATTGGATGGGATTATCTATGATTAAGCAATAATTGATTATTTACTGACATCCCTAAATACAACCTTTCAAAATATAAACATTTGACACGCTGTTGATGAAATAAATGCTATTTCCTATCTTATTTAATTTTTTGTTGTTTTTTAAAGATTGTCTTTTGGGCATTTGGCATAGTCTAGCACAGGGATATTAAACATTTATTAAAAATTCATCGTCTTCTGCTGATGCCAAAACACAAAATTGTTTTAAAAATGGTTTTACAATCGCCTTTAATTGTACTAAAGTAGTATAGAAATCTTCAAAAATACAGCAATGAATGAAGAAAGAGAAATATTTGTTAAAAGCACTTTACCGACAGAGAGAGAGGGAAAACATTACCTCATGGATCGTTGGTAAATTTCCGGAAGATGACCATGCCACAGTTTAGCAAAATTGATTAACACTGCCTCCTTAAGTAATCTGCAATGCGCCTTCGCTGTTTGCGATGCATTAAAACTTTTGTTTTTTCAGCCTTAACCAAACTTCATTCTCCAAATGTATAGTTTTTCTAAAGTGATGTGTACAAATTATATAGTATACTATGAAAAGGCATAGAATCATTCAGCGCAGTCGTAGCTCCATAGTCAAAAGCGATTTTTTTTTTTTGTCTTCCAGTTGTTTACTTACGGAAGTTCCATTGTCATTTTTCCTCACGTTAATTTTGACCAATCGATAAGCTCTTAAGGAAATATGTTCAATAACATATGGCCAATGAGTGATGGAAATTTTGTCAGATGACTGCATTTTTGTTCTTTTCAACTAATTCGGACCAAAGCAATCAGTGTGGTGTGAAAAGGACCCCAAGACAGCAGAAAATTCTGCACTGTATCATTTTTTGCCCTTGGTCAGAACCAAATGAACTGAACCACTGATGTGAAAGCACCCTAATATGTTTGAATGATTCGGAGGACTTCATGGACCAAAGGCATCTAAACGAACCAAAAACACGACATAAAATTTCAAGATAAATAGACATAAAAAAGGCAAAGTGCTTAATCATTCTTGGGTTTTTGTCAATATAATCAGTGTTACTTGTGAAATCACAAGTCTTCAACTGATGCAACTGGTGTTACATTTATAAAGAGAGAAGTGTGTTTATCACAGTACACAGCATTGTTTTAGATAGTTAGAAAGTTATTTTGATACTAAATTTAAATATTTAATATACTTGAAATATATGCTATTTGAAACTTATTACCCATCAAACAAATTTAGTTGACTTAATCCAAATGTGATGCCCCTTACAGAGTGTCAGCTGATGAAGACTGAACGACCTCGGCCAAACACTTTTGTCATTCGTTGCTTGCAGTGGACCACTGTTATCGAGCGCACCTTTCATGTGGACAGCAATTCTGAAAGGTAATTTGAGGTTAAATCTTTTTGTGAATGAATGGAAGAGAGAACTTGGAGCTGCTGAATGGTATTAACTGGAAAAGCAGATTGAATTGTGTTAACCAGATTTCTGACAATCAAAACAAGTTATTACTCACCGCCTGTTGCTTAAATGCAATTTCTGTTTCCGCTGAATTATTTTTCCTTTATTTAATAGTTTAAGTCTTTCAGCAACTATAATGGCCAGTTCCTCCAAAGGATGGTAATCATTAAGGGTTTAACATCACATAGAAGTCACGGTTCAGTATGTAGCTCGGTTTGATAAACGTTTGGTGCAACAGGAATAACAACAAATCCCCAACTCTTGATTTTTTTTTTCTTGCCTTTTTTTTTTTTTCAGAAGTGCAGAACTGAAAAGCTTCTTGTGATACGAAAGTACAAAATAAATAGAATTATGAAAAATACAACTATAATCAGGAGACTTCGTTTTAAACTTTCAAAGGTTAAGCCCAAACCTGTCCTAAAACAGGAAAACAAAGCATTACTTGTCCATTAAATAGTAGTAGTAAAGAACTTTGTTAATCCCTGTGAGGGGAAACATATTTGCCACCATTGACATCACAGTACAATAAATTATTAAACAGCAAATACCACAAAAAACAGAACAACAGCACTCCATTTGCACCCACTATACATCACAACACTGTAAAAACTGAACAAATAAAAACAAAAAGCTACACGTGCAAATTACACCACTTTATTAAAATAGGGCTGGTCAATATGACAAAAATCTCAAATCACAGTTCTCATATCCTGATAATGATATTCACCACGAAATAAAGTACATTTTCTGTAAAGTCAATCAGTTAAAGGGTCATGACACCCCCCACTTTCGATTTAAGTCTACCTCCGAATAAAAAAAAAAAGCATTATAATGGGCGTGGAGCTCCGTGATCAGAGGCAGGAGTGGGAGTGGCCAGCAGAGCAGGGGAGAAGGAGGGAAGCAAACAACTGTTGTCAGTTGGCTCACAAAAGGAGACATAAATCGTGAAGAGACGCATGATTTTGTAGTTTACAAAGTTAAAATGCTAAGAAATAAACAGTAATTAAATGCCATGCCACATTTGTTTTTCATAATTTCATTTACACACAACCACAATTTATATCATTATAAAGATAATCATGTTTATATAACCACTATAAATGAGGACTTCTCCCCTTAACCCCCGGGTCTGAATGCAGACTCTGCAGCAGGTCTCTTGCCCTGTCTATTTTAACCATTAGCCCTGCTGGTAATCTGGAGGATTTAGGCAAACACAGCAGCATGATTATGTTTCTAAATGTAAACAAACTCCTAATAAAAGGCTACGTCTGCCATTCTCCAATTCTCGTACTGCTCTTCTGACAAAAATGCTTGCTGCACACAAACAGCTTTGCTGTATCGGCACTGACAGCGTCGCCAGGAAAAACATGCAACAAACCCCGTGGATCATGGAAACAACCATATGCGACCCTTCATGAACGGCTAAATACTGTGTGCCGTGGGTCCGTGAACGCGGTTTAACCAAGTCATGGAGGTAGGATCTCACAGCTTGGCACTGGCAGGTCTGCCTTGCCTTCTGAAAGCACGTGCAGTCATAAATAATTAAGAGGCAGGCTCTTCTCATAGGATAAGAAATCTCAGCTATGAATAAAAATGAGAAACCGACGCGTCGTCTTTGCACTTGCAGTTTTGCGGCACATCACAGATTTTGATCCTGCCCCAAAAAATCATTTTAAACCCGGAGGATGAAAATAGCTAACAAAAGCTCAAAATTATCCAGTTTTCCCCAAAATTAAAACTGACAGGTGCTAACATTGTCTTAACTGATGCTCAACACACACAAATCTATTAAAATCTCAAAAAATGTACTCGAGGGTTTCTTGAACCTTTAATATTGGCCTCATGGGAAGGATTGTATTTTGCAACACCAAAAAAAAAAAAAAAAAACAATAGACCATATTATGAAATTATAGAATTTTTTTATTTTGAAATATGATGACGTGTGCAGGAGTTATAGTGCTGTCCCATTTCTTAGAGGTACATTTTGAAGCCCTTCCCCTTCACACTCTGTTTCAAGAGCCAAGAGGAAGGGGTAGGGGTACAAAAATATAAGTAAATGGATCTGGATGAATGCGTGTACTGTAATACCTTTAGTCATCATGAAGTCACCTGAAAATCAAACAAAATAAGCTTATTGTGGGATTTGAACTTGTCCGTGCAGAGAGGAGTGGATACGTGCCATCCAGGCTGTGGCCAACGGGCTCAAGTCCCGGGAAGAGGATGAGCCAATGGATATCAACTTTGGCTCCCCTGGAGACAACAGTCTAGAGGGGATGGAGGCTGCCATCACAAAGTCCCGCACCAAAGTGGTGAGTGCCTTGACTCAAAGAGTAGCCATCTTATGTTTGATTGGTTAACATTGAGCTCTGTATTGAACAGGATTAATATGGTCAATATTACATTTTATCAGTCAGACTGCAGCAATACATTTAAACCTGCTCACTGTCCATTAGGTTTTTACATTGGTTTGGCAACATTGAGCATTATTACCAAATCACTCACATTTCTGTTGAGCTTATTGATGGAGAGACATTTAGATTAGTCAAACTCAGTGTAAACTCTACAGTGGTGTTCATCGTTTTGTGTTTTCTGGTTGAGTTCTGGCTGCTCGAAACTTAAATTGCATTTGTTCAAAAAACATGGTTAATACTGGTAGTTTCTAGATAAACATTTTTTTAGATGATATGTGCCCCTGGACCACAAAACCAATCAAAAGTGTACATTTTTTGGAAGTTGATATCTTTACATCACCTGACACATGGATAAATAAGGTTTCCATTGATGCACTTGGTTTAGATTGGACAATAATTGGTCGAGATATTTAAAAACATGCAATCTGTGGGTTTATAAAAAATCATCATACTAAGTAAATTGCCTTTAAAATTGTTCGATGGAAGGGCTTGGCAGTACACATTACTAACTAAAATATATTTTTATGCTGATATTTTCTTTTGATAAATTATAAATTGTATGTTGATATAATTTACAAAAATAATCATCATGCAACATGAAGTTTACATAATATGTTAATACTTTTGCATTTAATAAACTTAATATTACTTAACCAATGTTTTTATTGTAAAAGAAAAATGATTAATTTGAATCTTCTGTCAAAATTATATTGGTGTAACAAGACTTATTTGAATATAAATGTAATAAAAAAACATTAAATAATTTTCAAGTTTACTTAACAGATACAATCTAGTTCTGAAATATGTGATTTTGACATTTTTAAAACTACTGATTCTTCAGCTTCAGTTTGATGTAAAAGTACTGTACAGATATGATTGTATAATGAGGGTTAAGCCCATTCTAGAACCAAATTGTGGATACTTGTGGGACAGTTAATGCCTGATGAATGGGGAGTCATTAATACTAATTTATACTTCTGCATCGAGTGATCGGTGTGACTAGCCTTGTGCATAGTCGTGCATTTATACTTCTCACTGCTGTTTGTGTTGCTCTGCAATACCACATCTGAAATGCTTGCTGGCAGCCGATGTTTCTTTGTATTGAGTTTCTATGCAGGAGTTTTGTTTTTTCTGAACGCTACAAATAGCTAAAACTCACTCATTCCGCGGTGGGAACCGGTGGATGTGCAACAACTTTAATCAAAATGTAAACGCAAAACAAAAGTTTCCATCTGGATCTCTTTTACGAGACTCCACACTTGTAAACACTCGCTTCATTGGCTCGTGACTGTCAGCACCGGCCACACTTGTCACCGATACCAAGCCGATCAATCACAGAGCTTGTGTTACGTGTTGTTGCGATGTGTAGTTAAATTTATTGAGAGGTCAGTGTCGGAGTCAGCCATGGCGAAGGCTTTGCAACCACACAAAGGCTGCACCGGAGCATACGCATGTGCTTGACACAGAACTTTAAATCAGCCTTAGGTTGCCATTTTAATTCCCAGTACCAGGTTTGAATAGAAGTAAAAGCATACATTACTTTACATTAGTTTGATCAAATTTTTCAGTAGTTGGAAACTACTACTGGTATTTTCATTATTAATTAATTAATATTTGTATTTAGCATTAAAAAAATACAAATTTTGTAAGCTATAGTACAAAGCTTAACCTCAGGAAATGTTATATTCAGGATATTATTAATAAATTCATATACAAAATGTTTGTTTTTTTTTCCCCCTCAGACCATGAGTGACTTTGACTACTTAAAGCTGCTGGGTAAAGGCACTTTTGGTAAGGTTATTCTAGTGAGGGAGAAGGCTACTGGCATGTACTACGCCATGAAGATCCTACGCAAAGAGGTCATCATCGCTAAGGTGGGCACCATGTGCATCAAACGCTTAAAATGATCCAGAACTATGCTTTTGAGACTCTTGACATGATTGTCTTGCGGTTTTTTTAGGACGAAGTTGCACACACAATCACAGAAAGCAGAGTGTTGCAGAACACACGGCATCCTTTCCTTACAGTATGTTTTTTGTTGTTTTTATTACACAATTCTCTTTCTTTTTACGTGTTGTTAATTAACAGTTTTCAAATCTCTTCAAATATAGACACTAAAATACGCCTTCCAGACGCGAGATCGACTGTGTTTCGTCATGGAGTACGCAAATGGAGGCGAGGTTTGTCACATCCTGTCACCTCTTTAAAAAATAAAGCAGAAAATCCTTCACCATTCTGTCTCTTAAACTTTTGTTTGGTCTCATTTTTGCGTGTTTCCAGCTGTTCTTCCACTTGTCTCGAGAGCGTGTGTTTACGGAGGACAGAGCTCGCTTCTATGGGGCAGAAATCGTTTCAGCGTTGGAGTATCTGCACTCTAAAGATGTCGTCTACAGGGACCTAAAGGTTTTCCCGTTTGAATGCTATGCGTAATTGTTGTGGAAATAGTTTTGAGTTGTTTTTGCAAAGTATGTCATCTAATTGTGTCATAGACCACAATGACATGAAGTCCATGTTCCCTTTTTTATACCACAAATGGCTAAACACACTTTTCTAATTCCGTTTGAATGGCGTTTGTCTTTGCAGCTGGAGAATCTAATGCTGGATAAAGATGGTCACATTAAAATCACAGACTTTGGCCTGTGTAAAGAGGGCATTACTAATGAGGCCACCATGAAGACATTCTGTGGGACCCCAGAGTACCTTGCTCCTGAGGTACTGCCAACTCACTCCATTAACACTTTCTCAACCCATTTGTAGATCGTAGCTTCAGTACCAGATTGAACATGGAAAAAAATGCCATGACTCAGGCCTAGAACTGATTTTCTTATTTTCTGAATGATTGGAATGAAATCCTTCAGTGTTTTTAAGCCAGAAACTGTTTTGTTGTTTGGATGTTTTGAACTCCACCACATTGAAAGGAGAACAGAAGCCAAAAGGCATCTTAACAGAATGATGCAATACATGTCATGAAGTACTAGATGAAGGTTTATGAAAATATTTGGCTTTTGAGGAATTTATTTTAGTGACTCGTCAAAGGGATAGTTCACCAAAAATTTAAAATTGTCAATTTTCTGATCCTGTTTTATTATAATTTTTCTGTTCAGCACAAAACAAGATATTTTGAAGATAGCTCTAACTAGGCCTGCACGATGAATCAATTTTAAACTGATATTGTGATTTGAAAAGTTGTGATTCTCAAATTGCAAAACCTCAGTTTATTCCGATTGTTACTATGGCGAGGGAGGCGAGCGTGAGAAATTAAAATGATCAAACTATCGTTTAGGGCTGCAACAATGAATCAATTAAATTGATAAAAATCGATTACTAAAAGCTAGGGCTGGGCGATTTTTTTTTTTTTTCTGATTTATTTATTTATTTTTCGATTAATTCGAATTTCCGTTTTAAGACGATTTAATTTTGAATGAAATCGAGAAATTGCGATTTTTAAAAATATATATATTTAATACATTATAATGGCACCAATGCGCTTGGGTTCACTCTCTGTATGAAGCAGGAAGCACACCAGAATCGCCTCTCGGCGACGCGACGCGCCGCACAGCACCTCGCCATGGATTTTAGAATTCTAAACAGGTTTCTATACACACACCGACGCCGCCCAGCCACGATTCACGAAGCAGTTCATATTTCAGCCGGCCCACAGAGCGCCATCTGATTAGTTTCATGTTAAATATCATGTGAATGTGTGCGTTTGGTGTGTGATAGTTTAAACTTTCATGTCAGCGCTGTGTTGCGGCGCTTCTGGTGTGCGACCTGCTTGACTGCGTGTTAAAGCGTTAGGTCATGTAGAATTTTACTTGTTGCACGTCTGTGTGAATTGTCAAGACATATTCCCTCATCAAGTCGATAAACTCGATCTAAACATGTATGAAGCACGTAAAAGCCTGCCATGTGAAAAATCGCGTCGATCTTTTGGTTTGAACACGAGTAGAGGTGAGGGACTGTAGCAGTGAAAATGAAAGTACCCGCCCCCATGACATCATTTAGCGGACCTAGTTGAAAACCAGACAGATCAGCCAGCATAATAGAGAGTGGAGCAAAGCGCATCAAATGATCGGTATTTAAAAGGGGGGGAAAAAAAAATAGATTAAATATATTATTTTATATTAGACACATCTGGTGCTTGTATTTGCTCCTGCTATACATCCACAACTTCACACATTGGGTTAAATTAGGCTTTACAGTTTCCATGTTCAGTCCTTTTTTTTCCACTGTATCTTTTTAAGAAAAAGGCAGCAGCATTACAACCTGTCATTTAATCAGAAGATAAAGTCAAAGCCGAGCTGACAGCCAATCTTTCCTAGGCTCAGCAAAACTAGCAAAAATACCTCTGTATTCCTGCAAGTGCAATTTTTACACAAATATTTCTTATTCAAATCTTCAGCAACGCTATTTAACTCGTGAATTTGTTTTACATTTATTTACACCTTGACCGATTTTTGTATGACATGGCCATTAAAAATACAATGTTCCTTAACTAGATGGTTTTTCAAGTTACGTTTGAAGAGAATGTTACTTCAGTCATGTTGTTGTAATGTTTGAGAAGACTCGTAACACAATAAAAAAAAAATCGAAATCGTGAATCGGTCAAACTTTATAAAAAAACTAGTTTTTTTTTTTTTTTTTTCAGCCCTACTAAAAGCATTAGCAACAAATTTCATAACCGATTTCTTGTGTCACGCAATATGGGGACGTTTGATTATTAAAAAACACTTTAGATGTCTTCTACTGCACGTGCCTGGACAGAGGTAAGCGCGTTGCTCTGCTTGTGCGCGCATATTGTCATTCTTACATTAGAAATAACAAACTTGCAACTTGCAAGCGGAAAAGATGTGATATGGTAACGGCCGCTGCTATAGTTAATCTGGTGAGCGTGCGTATTAGCCTCAGTGTACATACTTGGAACTTTAAACTATGCGTACAGTTGGCAACTTGTCATAACTTTTCCGTGCAACAGAAATGGGATTAGAGAAGCCTTTACGATTAATTAACTGTGACGAATTAAAGCGCAGATATTAGTGAAATCAGTTAATCATTGCATCCCTATTAATGATTACAGTTCATTGTACAAAAGGCATTTTCTACAAAACGTATCCAAATGTTTTCGGCTGTCCGCACCACTCACTGATGGTAACTCACGCTCTGCGCAGCCTCTGCAGCTCATACTGAATTGAACAGACGCATGTCACTTCATTGCTATAGCAGCCGTTTTTCGACTGAACTTTATTTTTATGTCTTGGTCACACTATTTGGAGGGCCAGAAGAAATTGCCTCGGGGGCCGTGTTCGGCCCGCTGGCCGCCAATTGAATAGCCCTGGTCTACACACACACGGCTGTTTGACACTATTCTCTTCCCCTACTGAGTCAATGTTGACAAATTTTGTGCTATAACATGGTGCACAGGATCATGAAACGAACATTCTAAAAGCAACTCATGTAAACACCCTGCTCATACTATTGTCTTATTCAGATTAAAGCAATTGATTTGATTACTGAATTCCATGAAAACATAGTCAGTGTTTAAAAAAAGCATAAAGTCCACAAAAAATATTTACCAGGATTACTCTTGGCTAATGTGAAGATGCTTTATAAACAAGTCTATTAGTGGTAGGTCATTTCTAAACGATCTTTAATGTGGCTCAGGAACAATGAGTTGTCTGGGTGAGTCATTCGTTCATTCCCACATTGTGCAGGAGGGGAGATTAGTTTCTTTTTCGAGTCTTTTGTTGAGTTTGAGTTGACCCCATTGTAATTATTAATAAAATTATATCAGTGAGAAGACCTCAATACAGAAAGTATCTTATATGAATATGAATATGTTTGTACATGTTCTGTAATTATAACAGGCATTAAGAGATGAGGTAATTACAATGACACTGCTATGACAGGTTAATTATGGAGTATAATTGAGATATACGTTTTCCGTCAAATGACAAACTGACATTACTGTACATGATGGATCTTTTGGTTCATTTTCAACTTTGCATTGGTTTCATGTGTGCTCAAATGGAAGATCTTTTAGATTTGTCCTTTTATTGCCCTGACTAGGGCTGCACAATTTTGGCAAAAATGTGAATCGCGATTTTTTTTATTTATTTTTTTTATTTTTTTTTTGCTTAAAATCAAGATCATGATTCTTTCTCACGATTTGTAAATGTAAAATAAAGGTTAATATGAGTAGCCTATTATTATTGTTCATTCTCAAACACATGGTAAAACAACAATAATATTAGGCCTATGTGTAGGTATACTGTTGCTTAAAATGTTGTATTATGGTAGACTTAAACAGACTTTCAATATGTCCTGTTTGTTAATTCACAGTAAAATGATGACATCAGAATTTAACTATTCATATTTATAAAATTGAATTATTATGTTTGAGGCATGCCTGTGATCTGTCATTGACAACATTATTAGACCATTATATTTCCATTTATTTATAGGCTAGGGTTGTTATACTGACACTGTAAACATTTATTTTCATGCACAACACTTTGTGTTCGCTATGAAAGAAAAAACATATCAAATGCTTGTCGTATTCATAACTCTAAAATGCGATATGATCATTTAAATAATGTGCGGAAAGTTTCATTTTCACTTCCTAGTGTGGCTCATGGCTGCTGTCACTGTGAGAAAAAAAGCACATGCAAATCAATCCTCCCGCACGGCCCTCAAACAATCGATCTGTGCAACAAACTGAACGTTATTTACAACTTCATTACCTGTTATTCACAGCATATGCTGGTTGTGTTCACTAAAGTAGGTGTCATTTGCGTGCACGAGCACATTTTGGCAGTAAACAAACAGTGCGTCAGCTAACGTGCCATTTCGCGACCGTGAATACATCATTACATGATGACAGAAATGACATTTTGGGTGAATTATACCTTATAAATACAGTATGTGACACTTTTAACGCCATTTGAAGGTGTCAATGTTTCTGTGAAGATTTCTGCGGCCACCTTTTTTTCTCTCCTGACCTTAAAAATATAATTGGCTGAATCGTAGAAAAAGCTGAATTAGGATCGTGTGTAGAGTCGAATCAAGATCGTGATCTTTTTTTTAATTAATCGTGCAGCCCTAGTCCTGACTTTATTTCATTTTTTTTCTAAATGTTATAAGCTACTTAATCATCTGCAATAGAAAATATATTAATATGATAATTTTCTCTTATAGCCCATAAAGTGTTTTTATAAAATTATAGAATATTCATAAGTCCATTGCTATAGACCAGGGGTGGCCAACCCTGTTCCTGGAGAGCCACCTTCCTGCAGATTTCAGTTGCTACCCATATCAAACACACCTGAACCAACTAACTAGGACCTGAACACCACGTGATAATTACAGTCAGGTGTGCTTGATATGGGTTGCAACTGAAATCTGCAGGAAGATGGCTGTCCAGGAACAAGGTTGGCCACCCCTGCTATAAACCATTTCAATGTGGTCATGTCATTGGCCCATGAACAGGTCCTGCTTGTTATCAAACTATTTCATAACTATAACAAGAGGCAATTCAATCAGAACTTAATGTCAACATAGCTATCATAACCTTATTAATCAATATGTGGCTCTTTTTGGATTCCTGGAAGCTATAGAAATTAAACGTATCAAACAGGAAATATTTTGGGACCATTGTTTTTGTTTACATCCCTCAAAATGGTCTATACATTTTATCTGCACTAATAGATTTCACAATTACAGTGTCCAAATTACTCAAATATACCACAATATGAAATAAAAATGCCATGAAAACATAATTTTTGAGTCTGTGATAACTTGTGAATACATCACCCCAATATTGAATTCAGCTATTTTATTTCTCTTTTGATTTCATTCTCTTTATTTTTACCCTCTTCCATAGGTATTAGAAGACAACGATTATGGCCGTGCAGTGGACTGGTGGGGTCTTGGAGTGGTAATGTATGAAATGATGTGCGGTCGGCTGCCGTTCTACAACCAGGACCACGAGCGTCTGTTTGAGCTCATTTTAATGGAGGAGATCCGCTTCCCTAGAAACCTCTCACCCGAGGCCAAAGCACTGCTGGCCGGCCTTCTCAAAAAAGACCCCAAACAGAGGTAAGAGGAACACCCGTTTTTGCTTTTGTTGTGAGGTGTGGCTTGCATGTGTTTAAGTGACATGCATTTTGATGTTTCTAAGGCTTGGCGGAGGTCCTGAAGATGCCAAAGAAGTGATGACACACAAGTTCTTCAACAACATGAACTGGCAAGATGTGCTTCAAAAGAAGGTAAACTAGAGTGAAAAAGTTTGCTCGTGTCTGTACTGTGATTTATTTGAAATATTTTTAATCGGTCCTCATCAGATTATTGGTGCACATGAACATTTGCCTTGAGTGTGCACATGCTGAAAATTGTTACACATAGACTTTGAGCTTAAAGAGATATTAGACCATTTGTCCACACACACATTATTAAAAAGTATTAAAAGTTGATAAATCAATTATGAGAAAACGTAAGCTCCTGAAAAGGTATTAAAGTTGTAATTGCGTTTTTACGAGGTCTTGGTTTAAAAAAAAAACTCCAAAAAAGTACAAATACATTTATTTTATAGGTGGGCATAGATTATTTTTTAAAAATCTAGATTAATCTTGGAAATAATCTAGATTAAAATGGAAGAATTCAGAATATGTGTGCTACCCCAGTAATAAGTCATTGAGAATGGGTTTCTCAAGCCAGGTGGTGCATTAAACCAGGGGCTCATCTCCTGTTTCCAAAATGCATCACAAACTGCTTGAGAAACTGTTCTACAGTGATGATTGAATGAAATGTTCATGAGTTAAAGTAAAACTGTCGAACTGCAGTTAAAGTCAGGCATTCTCCTGATTTGATTCAGAAGGGCACTTTTTTTTTTGTCTGACAGCTCACCGGTCAGGTATACATCTGCGCTAAAATATCAAGGCGGAAGTCATCATAGCTTGCGTAGAATAGACCCAGCGCCCGAACCAACTTTAAGAATAGATTAACAGTGATTTATTTTATTTTTTTAATTGCGCAAAAAGAATCTTGCGTTAACGCCAATAACGCCCCACCACTAATTTATTTTAATCCAAATATGACCAACGGCGTGCTCGATCCACGTGATTGGTTTGGGCTGGGGCGTGTCTGGCCAAGCTCCTCCATCTCGGTGATGCCATGTGATTTGTGATAAACGAGGGGAAGGTGATGTGACGCTCTTCACATGTAGCAAAACCATAGAGCAAAACAGATGACAAAATTGGAAAATGTAAGTTTGCGTACTCCTGGTTAGAGAAAGAGTTTAAACTGTGGCTAAAGCCTGTCGCTGAAAAAAACTGCGTAATTAATTTTTTCAAGGTTTGTTTCTTCCGAGCTTATCTGAGTTCTGTTGCATGCTTGTGCACCATTGGTTTATTTAACTAAAAATATTTATTACCAACTTTTTATTAAGGTCTTAAATATTAGAATATTAGAAATATTCTGTGAAAGTCTTTAAAAAGATATTGAAATTACCTTTATGATTCCTGCATATACCCTTGACAGTTTTTCTTTATTTTTTTCTTCCTTTTTTTGTTTTTGTTTTGTTGAAGTTTCCTAGTATGGAAGTCAATGGTTACATGTTTTCAACATTCTTCAATATATCTCCTTTTGCGTTAAACAAAGCAACAAAACTCAAGCTTGTTTTGGTAAATGATGGTAGAATTTTAATTTTTGTGTGAACTGTCCTTTTAACAGTTTCATTCAATCAATCTTTATTTTTATAGCGTTTTACTATGTAGGTTGTGTCAAAGCAGCTTAACATAACTTATAAAAATTTCAGATAAAAGTTTTTATAGTCATAAAGGGTTTTACACCATATACTACTGGCTTATTACTTGCCTATTCTTAACATATGAACTATTTATTAGCACTTATAAAGTATGATTTTACTTTACATTCCTAATTCTACCCTATACCTTAACCCAACTCTTATACTTTTCTTATTAATTAGCAGCTAATTATTAGTTTTTGAGCTAAAAGTGTCAGTTAACGGTTTGTTAATAGTATAAGTTGTACATAAAAAAATTTTTATTAATAATTTATGTTGAGTTGACCTTTGCATGTGCCAAATAACGGACATATGAAAGCCCAATGTTTAGCACTCAGTTTTTTCCCCTCCCACCCCAGATCAAAGCTCAATTTTTACAGCTGAAGCAAAGGCTCTATTTTAGGCTCTGGAACATATTTTAAAGGAACATAATTGAAACATATTTCTGTCTACCAACATTGAATTCTTTTGAACTGGAGCATTCTATTATTAACATTTTTATCAAAGTGAATGAACTGCAGTAAATGAGCTGCTTGTAAATAAACAAGCTGACAAAGCTGCCAAAACAGCCCTAACAGGACAGATAAAAGAGTGCAAAATCCCACCTTCGGATTTAAAGCCACTAATAAAAGGCTATATTCTTTCAAATAGGGCAAGCAGAGAAGCATCAGTGCTCAGAAAATAAACTTTTTGAAATTCAGCCAGAATTTTTTTTTTTTTTTTTTTTTACTTAAGACATGATGAGCTTGTTTATAGGAGATGCCGCATTGGACACATGAGACTCACTAATGAACATTTACTTAAAGGAGAAAACCCCCAAAATGTCAATATTGCAACAGAAATCAATTGTTAAACATGTTCTTGTGGAATGCCCTATTTTTTATGCTATAAGATAACAATTTTTATGTGTAGAGACTTTAAATAAAATATTTTTAAATGTGAATCCTTCTAAAATTGTACAAATTTTATCAAAAGTAAACCTTAAATTGCTTTAGGGAGCTTTCACACCTAGACTTTTGTTTTGGAACCTGTCACGTTTGCCCTGTTAGTGCGGTTCGTTAGGCATATGTGAATCCAGCAATCACGCTCTTATCCGCACCAAAACAATCGCTCCGAGATTGCCTGAATGATGTGGTCTCGGGTCGATTAAAACAAACTCTGGGGCGGATCGATTGTAGTGAGAAAGCCAAACGATTCGAGCCCGGCCATATCAAAGTGATTTATGGATATGTAATAGGCATACGGCTATATGAAGGGAGAATTATGAGTAGGGCGGGAGGTCATTCAACAGACATCTCAAGTCTCCGGAAGTTTTGAGAGACTTGCACAGAGACTCCTGGATGCCCACAAATGAGTAATAATCTCCCGGTAATCGCGCATCTCCCTCCCGGTCCTCAAATACGTTGTGCACCTTTCTCATCCCACCTCGCTCTTCAGACACGTCGCGCGCACCCTATCAGACACCACCAAACCACAACCCCCTCCCCTGACATCTGAGCGGGACTCTGCCAAATAAACCTGCGGAGAGTTTAGTCGCACATGAATTGTTTTAGCTATTTTGGCCCGTTAAGAAACTTTGCAGTGTGAAAGCGAACCGCACCAAGAACAAAGAGCAACAATGTAACAATTTTAATCCCTGTTTTGGAACAAATGGATCAATTCACCGCTGTGAATGCACCCTTAGATTTTTATCTTATTATTATTTATGTTTTTTTATCTTGTGCATTTATTGCTGTTGATGACTTTTAATTGTTAGTAGATTTTTATAATTATAGAAAAGTGTTGTTTTTAAAATGTGGTAAACCTGATCTTCTTTTTTTGCCATGACATAGCCAGAGAAGCTGATATGGCAATCAACTCAAAATTCTCTCTCTCTCCCCTCCCACCCTCTACTTGTTTTCTGCAGCTCGTTCCACCCTTCAAGCCGCAAGTGACCTCAGAGACAGACACACGCTACTTTGATGATGAGTTCACTGCACAGACCATTACTGTCACTCCACCTGACCAATGTGAGTACCTCAATCCTTCCTGGTGTCACTGTATTTGTTATGCACCAATATTGGAGTCTGCATTCACTTGAAATGGACCTTACTTCCATTGTTGACAGTCCTGCGCTCAAGTTACTTTACAGAAAAAAATAATGGTCATTATAATTATTTAATTAATTACTCACCCTCGTGTTGTTTCAAACCCCTGAGACAATCAATTGTCTTCGGAATACAAATGAAACATTTTAGATGAAGTCGTGCAGCTCCCTCATCCTCCATAGGCGGCAAGGTTCTCAAACTCCAAACTCCAGAGAGATATCAAAAAAGCTCCTCAAAACAGACCATATGCCTTTAATGGTCCAATTTTATTATTATTTTAGTATTGATTGCGTACATTCACGAGCACTGTGCAGTGATGTATATTCTCCCGGATGATCATGTGACTTGATGATGATCAAAGCACAGGTGCTTCTAAGGTAATATATCAGAGATGTAAACAGTTGCATCTCATAAACATATTTACACTGAGGAGAAAAAAATGAAAGTTGTTTTACTGTTTTATGTGCTGAAGTATTCTCGTAGCTTGATAATATTCCAGTTGAACTATATCGAAGGCATGTGGTCTATTTTGAGAATGTTTTTGGCACTTTTATGGTATTTGGAGGTTTAAGGGAGCTTTCAGATTTCACCTGAATTATCTTAATGTGTGTTCCCAAGATAAATTATGGTCTCAGGCATTTGCAACACCATGAGGGTGCTAATTAATAAGATTTCATTTCTGGGTGAACTATTATTTTATGTGGCAACTGCGAGTGCACTGCGTGGAATGTTAAAAACATGAGGTGCACAGGGCGCATAAACAACGCACAAAACGCTCACCACTGTTAGTAAATCATTCAAAAAAGGCACCTCTTAACGCAATGCGTTCAGTGTGATCGGCCCCTTAATCTTATTTCACCAAACATAGTTGTATAAACTTTTTTTTGTTTATATGATTTTTTTTTTCATGCAAGCGTTTATACTAGCACTACCGATGTGATCATTTTGACCGTTTATTATTTTTGCAGATAACTGTTGAAAAAAAAAACTCTTACAGTGCTCAGCATATATGAGTTCATCTCTTTTTTTAAAATGAATATTTGTATCCATTTCACATTTTCTTATGTTTGCTGACATGTCAAATGCACACCTGAATAGGTTCATTTCTGTTCCTGTCAATATGATTCAGTAGCTACTACACCCGTGACAATTTCTTAATAAGAACGATATATTTTGGATTGTTGCCTGATAAGACTAATTAAAATAATAATAATAATAGATGAAAAACCCAAAATAGCAACAGGAAACATTTGAAACATGTTTTGACCACTTCATAAGGCTTAATTTTATTGGAAAAATGCACTTTTGTAACAAATGTAATTTGGTGTAATTTGTATCTTTATTGTAACAGTTATCTACAAAATCAAAAGAATTAATAAATTTTAGGTGAAAAGATCCTTTTTCAATAAGGGAATTATGAATTAAATTTAAGTAAACCTATTATAACATGTAAAATTAGGAATGTAACGGTATTGTAAATACCGTCGTACCGCAATATTAATGTTTTTCGATATTACCGAAGTCGCATGACTCGGTAAAACTATAGGTCTTCTGAGAAAATTTGCTCAGGCGAATGAAGCGAACGGGAGGTAGCGAAAACTACAATTCCCATCAGCCCATGCTTGACCATCATCCCTTGCGGTCTGTTGTCGCTACAGATCCAGTAATGCGGAAATGGAGTGTGCTGCTAGAAGCGGGGAAAAAAGAGCTGCTAAAAGAGCTGGAAAACTCTAAAGCGGGTGTTGTCGCCGCGCGCGTACTGAATAGTTGTGTTGTCGTGCGAGTTCTTATCAGCTGTGTTGTCGTGCGAGTTCTTATCAGCTGTGTTGTCGCGCGCGTACTGAATAGCGGTGTTGTCGCGCGAGTTCTTATCAGCTGTGTTGTCGCTCGCGTACTGAATAGCGGTGTTGTCAGCACACTGTTCAGATTGATGCAGACAAGAGACCTCTATCTCACTCATGGTTTGTCCTCTCAAGTGGGGGAAAGACAATGCACAACGTTACCCACTGCTGTCAACCTGGGCCAAGTCATATCTCTCTTGTCCCAGAAACCTCAGTCCCAAATGAGAGGGTTTTTTTCTGTTGCAGGGGACATTGTAAATACCCAGAGATACCAGCTTTTACCAGATTATATTTATATGATAATTTTCCTTTAAACCCATCTCTATCTAAGTGAGTGAGTGATTAAATGTTGAATGTGATGAGTTTTCAACAATACTAAATTGAAACTTTATTTTTTTACATGGTTTAATATTTTTTTGTTATTAAAATTGAAGTTCCTGTTTCAAAGCTTACAGATAGATGGCTAATTTGTATGTCATGACACTTTTGGCACTTTTTTGGAGTATTTTCATAAGTTTTGTTTTTTCCTGTAAATGATTCAATAAATACCGTACCGTGACATTCATACCGAGGTATTACCGACCTGTGAAATTCTGATACCGTTACATCCCTATGTAAAATATATTATTTCAGATAGTTTTTTTTATAATTTGAGTTACAAATTACAGTATAGGACTAGTGTCGTAAGATGAATTATTGGTATCGCAACAACCCTACTAGAAATACTATAGCGTTCAAAATGGCCGAATAATTTACACTGTCTGCTACTTTTCCCTGTGACTTTAAATATGCATGCCTGTTGCCTAGCAACTTCCTGCTAACAAAAACATTAACTTTATTTTGGCAAAAACTACTTTTTTTCATACATGTCTGCAAGACAGCATATTTAGGTCTGTGAAAAAGCCTTCTGCCTTCTCCCCATGCGTGTGAAAGTGTAAATGAAAGTTCTCAAGTTTTCATTCTAAAACGCTGCTTCTCCGTCTCAGTGTGGATGGGGGAAAACGTAGACATCTGAAATCAGAGACGGGACTGCAGACATTCTCTCTGCTTTGGACTTTTTCTGAATATTAAGTAGCCTACACATAGTTCAGTCCTGCATCCTCTCCTTTTAAGTTCAGACTTCGCAAGTTTGAAACAAGACGTTTGGCCAGCGGAGAAATTGAAATGATCGTGCCCAACTGAGTCTGGTTTCTCTCAAGGTTTTTTTTCTTTTCACTTTCGCCAATTGGTGAAGTTTTTTTCCCCTCTCCGCTGTCGCCACTAGCCTGCATGGTTTGAGATCAGTACAGCTACGCATCAATGGATTTGCTCTTCAGGGTTTAGGCCCTCAGTAGTGATTATTAAACCACACTGAGCTGAGCTGAACTGAACTTAAACACTAAATACTGAACTACGCTGTTCCAATTTACTATGAACTTTTATGTTAAGCTGCTTTGGCACAATCTACATTGTAAAAGCGCTATACAAATAAAAAAAATTGAATTGAGTTCAATAAATTGAATTGAATATGGAAAACAAACTCCTGAGGACACGTCGGGTAAATCTTCAAAGGGAACAGTGTAATTTATAACCTTATTCACATCATCCTTGCTACGTTGTTTCTCATCTTAACAATAAAATGAAAACATGATTTACGGAACTGCTATTTTCATTTTAGCACCTTAACAGACACCAAAAATTTTGAGGCATTGTGCTGCATAGATTTATAACAAAACGGAGCCTATAACATTACTGCCTCCTTTCATTTTCATTGACAATATCAAACATGCCCTCTCTTTTGCTGAAAATCAGTTTTAATAATCAATAATGGCCATTATAAAAGTATAGCGTACAATAAGTCTATACAATATAAAAAATAAAGGCAAGCAAATAAAGTAAAAAGTCTATATACAGAATGTACATGATTACATTAATTATTAACTTATCCTTGCACTCAGCCAAAACACGTTACCTGAGAACAAGTGATAGATTCAAAAGACTAAAGTCGGGGAATATGTTGTTTGATAAAGACAACAAGATTAATTAAATATCACATTTAACAAATATAGAGAGATTAGATCCTGCGGTAGATCCTTGATAAACAGTCCGACAAGCACAGCTCTCATCTGGGTAGATATGCTGCAGCGCATGCCAGAGTGTGTGTGTGAGGTCATGTGATGTGCGTTTTCCGTGGTGTTATGTAGACGGAGAGTTGTTCAGAAACGCTGGTTATAACGCTAGTGAGGATGCGAATCGTTTTCATTCCAAAACGCTGTTTTAAAACTAAAAAGTACTAGTGTAAATGGGGCCAAACGCGCGGACATTCGTTGGTGGTCTATACATTTAAAGCCCACATCACCAAAAAGATTGTATTTTTAGGGCTACAACTTAAATAAATATGATGAAAGAGATGTTCAAAGCTTAAAATTAATATCTCAATAGAAGCTTTGAATGTAAACATGACATCTTATATGAGAACGGCAAGAAGGGTCCCTACAGTAATGCTAGTAGTTCCAGAATTCTGGCAGTTCCAGTGTTAACTATTAAGAACATTTCAATTTGAGCTGCTTAGGTTTTACATTGTTCTCTCTCTCTCTCTCTCTTCATTGCTCACAGATGACAGTCTTGACGCGGAGGACCCAGATACACGCACACACTTCTCCCAGTTCTCCTACTCAGCCAGTGTGCGGGAGTGAACACCCCCTCCCTCTCCACCCCCCCTCCTCCCTAACTCTCTCACCCTTACCAGCAAGCCGGACGCCCCTCACATACACAAACTCATACAAGGACACGTGCACCAGCAACCCAAGCCCTCCAGGAACGGGTTCTAGGCGGAACTACGGCACCTGTGAACCATCCACCCACAGACAGGGTGGTACCCTCTGCTCTCAGTCCTGGTTTCCGATTGGCTCTTCATCCAGCCAGTCACAAGCCTGACACTACACACTGCTACACAATCCAGCAATCACTGATTAAAGCTCAACCAATCAGGTACCATCGAGAAACACGGCTCGGCACCAGCAGGTTTCAGGACACACACATGCATACGCTCGCACTCTAAACACTGGACTCTTGTAAACACACAAATATCAAACACACTCTAAATTATCTTGTGGGGACAAGATAACGCAACCAATTTGGACACTTCTCCCGCTGATTGTTACAGTCTCAAAGCCATATTTCTGCAAATGTACAAGTGCTCTTTCTGGAACTAGCTGTTACCAATAGTGTTTTTACAGCCCGAGGACCGACGATTGGGTAACACAGAAAAGATTAGTGCTGTTTTTCTGCCTGGGTAGTGTACTGAATGCTGTGTGTGTGAGTGGATGAATGCGTGTTTTCAGTCTACATCTTCAACTGTGTGTCTTTTTGTGTTTCGATTTTTGTACATGGGCATAAAGTTAAAGGAGTAGAACAGGGGTGGGATTGTTAGGGGTTTGGGAGGCTCACACACTATAGATGTGAAAATGTTTGTGCTTTAAAGGGAAGAGAGAGAGAGAGAGAGAGAGAGAGAGGAAGACAGCGCTAGCGTGTTAGCAGGGAGATTATGATTTCCTCCCCAGCCGAGAGCCTTGGAGAAGCGTTGTCCTTCATCTGGAGACTTCCAAGGTTAGTGTATCATAGAAAGAATCATGTTTTCATTCTCTTTTTTTTTGCAGGCATTGATGTTAAAATTTATAGACTAAAGTACAAGAAACAAAGAGCAAAGTAATTGAGGATCTGAATGTCATGTTATTTAACTGCGTCCGACTGGTTTTAAGTTGCAGACAGTGGAAACGCGTATCTACACCATTGTTGTCGCAGCCTTGACACTTTTTCATTTCTCCTTTTTTTATTTTATTAGTTTAGTAAAGAATAATGGTTAGGATGTTTGAGAGGAAATGTTCAAGATCATCTCCAGATTTGTAACGTAGGCGTGCTTGTCCAGACTGGACACGCCGCTTAGATGTGTGAGGTGTCGTTTCTTCTTTTGCCTTTTTAAAGATGCTTCATGTAAGGAAAGTCATTTTTGTTTTCTTTTGTTCGTTTGTTTGTTTTATTCATTATTTTATTTGGATCATTCTTTTTGTTCATTCACCCACTCCCTGAAATTTAATTGTCTTGATAAATATATATATATAAAATATATATTACAATAGTTTTTTTTGTTTGTTTGTTTGGTCCATTTTTCCATTCATGTGAGTGTGGTTTATTTGTGCATGTGTGAGTGTGTAATATGGTGGTCACAGTGTTTATTTGCAACAGTTGGGATATGAAATAAGTGCTTGTTAACACTATATATATATATATATATATATATATATATATATACATACATACATACACACACATACACACACGTCACCATCCCTCCTCCATATATGTACTCAAACAGGAAGTTTCTTCCTTGTTCCAACAGCAGGACCGAACTGAAGTGCTTCTACGGGTCTTAAAACTCACCATTCCCAAATCATGCTGTCTACACAGGCAACTCGCTAGGTTTTAAAACAGCCCTTATTGCCTTGACTGAGAGAGACCGCTAGATGGTGCCATTTGCCCTTCTCATTAAACCATACATTCTGATATGAATAACATCTGCGCACTGTAGTTCACCATTAATGATGCTGAACTTTAGTTTTTGGCTGGAGCCATGAGGGGTTGAAGATCTAAAAGGGTCTGCTGTAATAATTTCCTCCATTTTCTTGTGTATATACCTACCTGTAGAACAAGTCAGCTTTTGAAGTGGAATTATTTTGCAACTTTAACCATCGACTGTTCTGTTCTGAATGTGATGAACAATCACGAATGTCATCATCGATGCTCGGTTTGCTTTTTTTTAGCGCTGGGGATGCAAACGTTGGGGGGGAAACTTGAAATATTTCAGCAAACTTTCTAATTTTTTTTGCTACAGAGTTCTATGGGTTATGCTTTGCTATTAGGACATTCATGCAAGTAAATTCTTTTACCAAAAAAAAAAAAAAAAGCTGTCTGCCTCTTACTAACCCAGAATTTTGTGAAATTAACTTGGTGGACAGGAAGTGTGTGTGTTTTTCCTCTCAAAAGGGTTCTTCTGAGGTGTGCAAGGGTGTAGGTTCTCCACTGAGTCACATTCAGACATTTCAGTGTCTAAATTTATGCTTCAAACATGTAACTGCTCAGATTGGAAATATGCATAGATAAATTATGCCTATCAAATATTTGAAAAGTTTTAGCTAAAAACTTTTACATTTAAAGTTAAACTTTACTAATAGTTTCATGAACTACTTCAGTGGCTAATAATTTAGCCAAATAGTGACACTTGAAACACTTTTAAGAGCCAGTATGTTAAAAATACAGGAATGCTTTGTTTTTTATTTGATCATAATAATAGTCGTTTAGTTTTATAAACTGGTAAAAGCGATTTACCTTACCTTACCTTAAAGGTTGTAAACCTGCTGCCTTAAAAGCAGTAAGTTGACTTTATTAAAAGTAGGTAAATACATACATATACTGTTATATTCATATTATATATAGTTCATTTACTCAATTCTTTGGAAAAGGGTTTGCTCACTTTTTAAATAATTACTTTAAAAGCAGATTTACTTGTTTTTAAAGTGAAGTACTCACTTTATATATATATATATATATATATATATATATATATATATATATATATATATATATATATATATATATATATATATACACACACATACATATACACACACACACACACACCTTACTAAAGTCTTGTCACTTTAGTGACTCATATCAGTGTTCATCAAGATTCTTTGCATTCATCTTCAATGCCTTCATTTTACCCTAGACATGCTCAATAATGTTCATATCTGGTGACTGGGCTGGCCAATCCTGGAGCACATTGACCTTCTTTGCTTTCAGGAATTTTGATGTGGAGGATGAAGTATGAGAAGGAGTGCTATCCTGCTGAAGAATTTGCCCTCTTCTGTAGTTTGTGATGTAACGGGCAGCACAAATGCCTTGATACTTCAGGCTGTTGATGTTGCCATCCACTCTGCTGATCTCTCGCACACCCCCATACTGAAATGTAACCCCAAACCATCATTTTTCCTTCACCAAACTTGACTGATTTCTGTGAGAATCTTGGGTCCATGTGGGTTCCAGTAGGTCTTCTGCAGTATTTGTAATGATTGGGATGCAGTTCAACAGATAATTCATCTAAAAATCTATCTTCTGCCACTTTTCCAAATGATCAACTAAAAGTCAAGTTATATATATATATATATATATATATATATATATATATATATATATATATATATACATATATACATATATATATATATATATATATATACATAGGTATTTATTTTTTATAATTTATTTATAAAGGTATTTTTTTTATATCCAATAATTATAAATAGGCTAAATGTTTACTGTAGGAAACATCTGGTGGTGGGTGTTTCTAATAAAAAGCAGTGTTTAGTACAGTGGATCCTGACCTTTTTGTCTCTAAGGTCCTCCTTATGCGCTAAGAAATATTTTTGCCTAAATCTATCATTAATGGTGTCGACTCATTAAAATGATAAAATCCATGTTTTGTTTTTTTTTAGATACAGAAAAAAAAATTATAATGTAAGCCGCTAAACTAGTTTATCAGTTTTATTAATAATGAGAGCAACAGCTCAAGCAAACGTCTACCATATATTTAAGCAATTTATGTTTAACGATTTAAAGCTCTTCGAACTCACTGCATTTCCAGAGGCTTGCGTGACAATAAAGCAACCTATATAGTGGCATGGGGGGCAGAGCTTAGGGAAGGGTCAATTAGGAAGCTTTATTAGTGCCACTTGTGTCAATTAGCTAACTCTACATGTCAGTGTACAGCTGCAGGTTCGGCGCATGCAGGTAGCTGCAGTGTCCAGGTGAATCATGGCTCTGACTGGGTTTTGTGGTTCCAGGCAACTGTTGGACCGCCATATGGTGAGCATTTCAGTGTTTACCAAATGATGTTGCCGTTTGTTTTCCTTAAATGGAGCTTAGTTGTAATTAGTCCACAGTCTTCTGATTTCTTGAAGGCCAAGTAAGGCGATTGCTATGATTTACTACCAGAGCTTTTGTGCACTTTTAGAATGAACGTTTTAGATTTGAATAAAATTGAGGTGTGATTGCTTGAGGAAAGCAGTCCTCCGTTTTTAGCTCAAATGTTTGCTTCGAAGTGGTGGTTACGAAGTTCCTTTAGAGCTTTAAGGGACTGCAGGTTTCAGAAATTATTGAGCTATAGAATGTGTGTTAGTCTTTGTGTGGAGTTTTCCACAGATCTTGTTTTACTTGGAACCGAAAGCTAGACTAGTCAGAAGGTGTCCATGTTAATTATTTTATGTATTTTGAATAAAAACTGAACTCATTTGTTTGGATCTCTTGCATTGTTAAATGCTGAGTTCCACAATCAATTGGTGTCGAGACTGCATGGAGGTGGTAAAGTTGGCTTTAATTTCACACATCCAGACTTTCACCTTATTGTAATTTCAGAAAAGTGTTCTTTGCAAATTCTTAAAAGGTAAATCACATTAGCAGCCATTGACTATCAAAGTACAACATTGTTCAGTCAATTAAATGGGGCCTATTTTTTTAAAGTCATACTGCGTTGTATGGATGTGAGATTTCACACCAAATATACAGTCAGAAGTTGTCACTGTTCATAAATGAACGAATATTTATATATGAAACCAACCTTACCTCAATTTTAACCTAAAGGTTATTACAAATATAAGTGGATTGAACACAAAACGATTAAGTTTCCCCCTAAAAAAAAACTCAAGATTTATTGTTTCCATTTGATTTTTAAATGAGTAATTTGAACAAATTAATTTTGTGTATGTTTCAAACACCAAAGCAAATGAGGAAAACCCCTACTCCTGGGTTGAAAATTTAACCCAGCATTTGAATGTGTGCATATTTACCTGCGTTTAGTTTGATTTTAAATTTAGATCATCTAAATCATTGAAAGACTGCAGTTTTTGACCTGCCGATGCTTGACTACACTATAAAACACTACACAATTCCTTCATGTTGTCTTAATACAAATCGATTAAGTTAACCTGCTTTTACAAATTTAAGTAGATTAAACATAAAAATTAAGTTTCTCATTTTAAGTCATTTGATCAAGCAGCAAAAGGCATTTTTTTTTAAATGTAGTGAATGAATAAGAATTTTGTGCTTGAAGACTGAGGACAGACAAGTGCCACTGCGGACGTGGGCAAACTCCTGTGTTCTGAAGGAGCGCAGGGTGTTTGCTGAGGGAGAGGAGGTTGGTTCAGGACAGCACTACAAACCCGCACAGGAGAGTAGATGGGTAAGTGCAGCGCTTTAGTTTCAATACTTAAAATGAATGTTTAAAATGTATGGTTGCATCTATTGTATAATTGCATTGCAAAGAGAGGATGATGGGAGGTTTAAATAAATGCTGCTTATTAAAAGATGTGAAGATTCTTGGAAATCTCAAAAAAAAAAAAAAATTCTACATCCCTTCAATGGATTGTGTACCGTTTGTGCGCTTCTCTGAATGTAATTGTTATAGATGCACCCTTTGTTCAAGTCATTATTCTGAATCACATTTCTTAAGGTACAAAGACTTCCCATTTCTGCAGAGGATGGGATCATAATGGACTACGCTCCGCAGGGTGAACCAACATCTTCAGGTGACTTGATATGGCTATGTCTAGTGAACGCTGAAGTGGAGCAAATGTTTTTCGAAATTAAGACTAGAATGGTTGTTCAAAACCTTCCATCAGCATGGACCTAAAACTATTGATCCATTTAAATTACTTTGATCAATTACAGTATGCCGAATCTAGCTCAGTTTACTGCTGCAGGATGTGATGCAACTTAAAGAGTAAATGTATATCTTCTTGCATGAATTTCATCTGGCAGCTGCAAAGTTGACCTCAGGTTTTCAGCTCAGAGATGAGCTATTCTTGCAAATACAGTGACTGTTAACTATGCTAATATGCACATTTTGTTGCTTTTAATGCCATTTTCATTTCTTCTACTTTAACAATTTAAATTTCAAGAGGTAGTTCATGCAAAAATGTGAACTGTTACCATTTACTCACCGTTCACTCATTCAACAGAAGGTCCTCGAGTAGGTTTTGAACAAGCTATTTTTCAGATTGCTGCTTGATCGTACCCATTGACTTCCATGATTTTTTCATACCATGGGTTCAGTCAACCAGCTGTTGTTCTATTGCGATGTTAAACTCAAATTTAAAACCACATGAGGGAGAATAAATGAGAATTTTATTTGATACTCAAGGCAGCAACTGACTTATTTTTAGAACAATTAGGGTAAAGTTTTTTTTTTTTTTTTTTTTTTTTTTTTTTTTTTTTTGTATTACCATTTAAAACTCTGCCATATTCTGCCTCCCAAATATAGCTTATGCCCCTTCAATTTATTCCTTGTGCACTGTTCAAATTTACGACACTTTGTTCAGGATGAAAACATCCTCTGAATTAAATTGCTGTAAAAATGCATCAGATTATTATTTTTCTCAATTCTTTTGGAATAAATCTTAAACTAAAATTGCAAAATTACAGGATTTTAACTCTAATTGCTAAATTTGCGAACTCTCTTGGATGATTTGGTGAAACGCTGTATTTTCAATATAAAAAGTAATTGTGGGCTGGATTTTTAAAAAAAAACTCAAAATTTGATTGAAAATTTGATTTTCTAAAATGCAAAGCGTGCAAATGTCTCTCGCACACACACACACACACACACACACACACACACACACACACACACACACACACACACACAATTGAATTTGCTTTTATACTCTATAAAATCCAGAAATGTACTTTTTTTTTTTTTTTTTTTTTTCAGAATTTTTTTTTCAGAATATTTTTCTTTTTGCAAAGGTAAAGGGTTAGTGGTGCCAACTGATGATCTACAGTAAAGATTACAAATTTTACCTTCCAACAGGGAAAACCACCAACAATCAAAAATGCATGATTATATGGTGTCATGGTTTTGTAATAAAATGTGGCTGTAATGGAAGTCAATGGGGCAAAAACTGACACCAACAGTAAACTAGAGAGAACAAATGAAAATCTATCAAAGGCAATGCTGTTTCACGTGTCCAAGACTTTAATAAAAGGTTAAAATAAATCCTAAAATACGTCTTTTTTTTTTTTTTTCTCCCCCACCAAATCAGTGACATTTTGTGGATTTGGCAATTAAAATCCTATAATTTTCTAATCAATTTAATTGTTTATCTGATGCATTTTTACATCATTTTAGTGGATGTTTACATTCAGATCATATCAAAAGGATAGTAAAGTTATGAGCACATTATTACTCAATCACCCCAGAGTGGATGAAAACATCCCTAACAGTACACAAGGGTTAAGGATAGAACTTTCCTTCCCAATCACAACATGGTGATGAGTTTATAAATGACTCTTTCTAGTGTACAAAATGTTCACTTAAGCCTAGTTCACACTACAGGATTTTAAGCCCAATTTGGAAGTTAACGAGCTCGCCAACAGATCGGGCTGTGATCGGAGAAAAGTCTTGGCATGCTCTGCAGTCTTTGTGTTCAGTAGTTCACACAAAGAGGCCTGTGAGGTGTTATCACAGACAACTCACAGACATAAATTCAATAACTAGCATGCTGAATATTCCAGAGCAGTCTGCTGACTCGACCCCATGTGCGGTCAGATGAAGTGATGAGCTGCAGCCTATCAGCATGAGCTGAATGGCCACTGTGCTCAGGAGCTTAACAAATGTCTGTGATTGGCCAGAATGGGCATCGATACACCTTAATTCTGCGATAACGCAGACACTGGAGTAGGCTATATTAACAGTGAAACTAGAACTTTGTAACCGTTAGAATTACCATAGCAGTTATTCTGACCGTTCTCAGGTAAGACGTCATATTTAAATTCAAAGCTTCTTTTGAGATTAAAACTAAGATTTAAATGTTTCATATTTTTCAACTTTTAACATTTTTCTCTTTTTGGTAATACAACCTTTAAATATGTAGTTAAGTCAGAACACCCACCAAGGTCTTTGCTTTCATTTTCCAACAGGAGCTATTTTGTGGCACAATGTGCTGTTTTGATATCTGATTTAAGTTTGATTTGCTATCAGAAATATGTTAGCAGGAAGTTGCTAGGCAAAAAAGGCATGCATATTTAAAGTCACCGCGAAACGCAGACAGGCATGCAGTCATTTTGACCAATATGGTTATTAAAGATAGAAATACTCTGTTCTTTTCTGTCCTTTTTTGAGTTGCAAAACCTTGTTAGAAAGACAAATATTTTGGAATTGTCATGGTGTTATAGATGTCAGTTTTTTCAAAGAGTTATTAAATTACAGTAGTTATAGTGTTAAAGCCACATCTTGAACCTTGCAGATGAGCGATTTGATCCGCTAATGCAGGGGTGTCAAACTCAATTCCTGGAGGGCCGAAGCCCTGCACAGTTTAATTCCAATCCTGCTCCAACACACTTACCTGTAGGTTTCAAACAAGCCTAAAGGACTCAATTAGTTTGATCAGGTGTTTAATTAGGGTTGGAACTAAACTGTGCAGACCTGCGGCCCTTTTGGAACTGAGTTTGACACCTGTGCGCTAATGCATCAGCTGACTGACGATGTTTTTAAACGCTCTCTTGAAAGCTTGAAACGCCATCAGTGACGTCATCAGCACACAAGCAGCCAATAGTGTTCAGCTTTTTCTGCCAGCCCCTCCCTCAACATTTCATCGGCTGCGGTTTGGTAGTTTGACTGAGCTGTTGGGGAACAAATGCTCCCCCCCATCCCCCCCAAAAACTTGAAACATTTCACGTAGTGTTGCATAGTGTGCACATCACAATGACTTAAAGACACAATCAAGTAGTGTGAACTGCACAGCGATCTGCCGATGTTTAAAGTCATGTAGTGTGAACCAGGCTTAACCAGTCCGTGTTCTGCAACCATGCTAGATGTCTATGAAGAGGAAGCCTTGCTGAAGTACCTGAACAGGTTGCCTGGTCCACTCAGTTTTCAAGAGCTGATGCCTGGACTTTTGCGCAGAGAGGTGGAAGTAGCCATCAGTAAACTCGGCCTTCTTTTTGATAAAACCTACGCATGGGACATCTTTTCAGACATGATGGTAAGGATGAGATGATGATTCTGATCACCCCCCCCCCCCCTTATCACTGTGCTCATGTATCCGTTTCCCCTGGTTGTAGAGAAGCCAGCTACTATGTACTCTCCCAAACGCTGACCTGCCTAAGCCTTTCACTGACACCACAAGAGCCATTTTGGTGGACTGGCTCATTCAAGTCCATGTAAGTGCTGACGTGGGCTTAAGTTGTTGTAATGGAGTAAGAGTTAGAGGAGTAATAAGTTTTAGATAAAGTATGCTGTTTAACTAAAGACTGATGCTTGTTTTTACCTTAGGAAGTGTTTCAGTTCTCAGAGGAAACGCTTTATCTGACAGTGCACTTGTTGAATCGAGCACTCCGGCTCATCAAGGTGTCCATCTCCGGCCTGCAGTTGTTGGGTGTGGTTTGCCTCTTTCTGGCTGCTAAAAGAGAGGAATGTCTTTTACCAGAGGTACATTGGTAGTAAAACACAGGTTTAATGCAAACGAGGATCGAGCATCTCAAAATACAAGTGTTTGACAGGTGTCCGAGCTCTGCTACTTGATGGAGAACGCCTACAGTAAGAAACAGCTGCTGCGGATGGAGAGGAGAGTTTTAATTGGTCTCAAGTTTGACCTCTATCACTGTCCGCCACTTCATTTTCTTCTCATCTCTGCCTCCATCGCACGCTGCAGTGACAAGGTCAGTTTACTTTAATTTGACCACCATTACCACTATTAAATGTCCCAAATCGCACCTTAAAGGGTTTGTTCTCCCAAAATTAATTTACATGTTGATCCAATACCCTCAAGTTTTCGTTAATCATCAGAACATAAATTAAAATGGTGGAACTGTTTGGCAAAAGATTTGACTGAGTCTCACTACATATCAAATGATTAAAATAATTATGTATTATTTTAGTCATTTGATATGTAGTGAGACTCAGTGACAAGTAAAGTAATCATTGTGCTGAGCGCTTCTCTTCCTCTTAAACTGAACAGGGAGGGGGGGCAAGCGCGCTTTGGCACGGTTCAAGGCAACTGTGCATAGTGTGAGCACACCCGACGATATTTTTGATGGAATCAGAAAGCTCTCTTATCCTCCATAGATGGCAGAAAAATTACTTAAAACAATCCATGTAACTTCAATGGTTCAACTGTAATCCTATTAGGTGAAACAGTTGTTTTGCTCATAAGCAGTAAACGCACACTCCAATCTGACATAAAAAACCTTAGCAAACTAAGTCGCTTTTACATTTTATTTTTATTTGTTTTGCTCTTGAAAAGTTGATTAATTCTCTCTCGATCTAGGGCTGCATAATATTAAAAAAAAATTGTTACTGGGAATTATTAATGATTTTATTTATATATATATATATATACATAAATATAATTTGCTTTTAATTTCGTATTTTTATTTCTCATTTCTATTATTTCTTTCTTTTCTTTATTTCCATTTATATTTATTATTATTTCTACAATTCAATATTGCCATATGAATACACACTGTTTCACAAGATGGTTGGATTAGGTTTTCTAGGCAGTCCAACAGTATTCGGTATAGAAATTTAATCACAATGCAAAAAAAAATGCTTTTTCTTTTGCGTTCTCATTTCTACATTAAAGTAAAAATTATTTTCACCCTCAAGTCGATGGCTCAAATAGTTCAGATTCAACGTTGTATATGTTGTAACGTGACCACATTGCGGATCACATTGTGATATCGATGCTGAAATGATGTATTGTGCAGGCCTATTGTACTTAATTTATTTTTTTATTTTTTCCTATTAAAATAAACATATGCAGCAATTACACTTGCATTTAATCATTTAGGTGGTGTGCATTGATGCATTTTCATTTATAAAATAGTTTTTGATGCATCTGCCCATTAGATAATTTTTATGCTTATTTTATTGTAACACTTTGCATGTTTTTAAAAAGGTATTACCAGGGGGAATTAATCAAACAATGAATTAGACTTGTGATTAACTTTTCATACAGTTTGTGAATTTAATTTTGTATTTATATTTATCTAATAGAAATATGAAGTTATGTATATTGACCTTGCCATGAAATGGTTTTGTTGCTGATGTGACTAAGTAACCAACAAACAAAACAAAACAAAAAAAAAAACTCCAAAAGAACAAATGAACAAACCTATAAACGAGCGAGCAAATGAATAAACGCCTGGTATCCACTATACTCCCAACATATTTGGCCTGCACATACAGAGCCTTTTGAAAACCCTAAAGATTGTTTTAGTTTGTAAATGCTGGTGTTTTGTTTAGTGCATATGACATGTACTATTATATTTATTACTATTGCTATATTTACACTGCCAGTTATATTAGTAAAGTATAATGGCCGAACCGCATTGTGTAACTTCAATATATTGGGTATTATTATCATCATTTATTTATTTTAATTTTTTTGGGCATGCCACCTGTACACAGTCTTGCTTTTTAAAAAGTATGTTCCTGTGTCCTCAGGTGGTCTGGATGGCACGATACCTGTTGGAGCTGTCGCTTCTTGAGGGTCGGTGTGTGGTCTATCTGCCTGCTCAGCTGGCTGGTGCTGCCCTCCGTCTGGCCCGCAAGATTCTCCAGGAAGCTGCTGCTCCTGAGGCAGAAATGGCCTGGTGCATCGCCTCCAGTATCCACATAGGAAGGTCAGTAAAAACAGCCCTCTGCTGGAGATTAACCTTCATGTACACAGACACATGCCACTGGATGTAAATTTTTAAAAATCTGAAATTTTATGCCAAATTTATAAGCTTTTTAAAAAATGTTTAATTCTAAGCTTTGATTAAGCAGGCATTTTGTGGTGTTATTAGAAATTGATCATTTTAAATTTATTTGAACATTAAGAATTTAGGAAGGAATGTTAGTCTGAAACCTTTATTTACAGACTTATGTTGGTTGATGGTATCTATTGTTTTCCATATCTTTTCCCCATTTTATTTTTTTTAAACCATTGTTAAATATTTTAAGATGTTAACCTACAACATTCATTCATGTCTTAGAATAATAATAATAATAATAATAATAATAATAAAATATTTCTAGAAGATTTGCAACTACAACACTGTGTCTCAGGAAATTTGAGTTTTATTATAAAATCTTAAAGATGTGCACCTACAACACTTCATGTCTTGGGACAATTTATTTAATAATAAAAAATAATACTAATACATATTTCTAGATGTGCACCTACAATATCATGTCTTAGGACAATTGAGATTTATTTATTAATTATTATTATTTATTATTATTATTATTATTATTATATTTCTAAAAGATGTGCACTTACAACACTATCCATATGTCAGGACAATTGACGTTGTTGTTTTTGTTTCTAGTAGATGTGCACCTAAAACATTCATGTCTCAGGACAATTGAGTTTATTATAATTATAATAAAATTTAAGATGTGCACCTACAACACCATTCATATCTTGGGACAATTTATTTATAAATGCTAAAAATAATATTAATACATATTTCTAGATGGGCACCTACAATATCGTGTCTTAGGACAATTGAGATTTATTTATTATTATTTCTAAAAGATGTGCACCTACAACACCATTCATATGCCAGGACAATTGAGGATGATGATTTATTAGTGTTGTTATTATTATTACTACACTTCTAATAGATGTGCACCTACAACACCATTCATGTCTTGGTACAATTGTTGTTGTTGTTGTTGTTGTTGTTGTTGTTGTTTTATTATTATCATCAGCATTTTTTTTTGATCCACTAAGACAAGAATGGGTGTTGTTGAATAGATTTAGGACCATTTTAATTATCCTCTTAAATGTTGACTACTGCAGTTTTTAGAACTGTTTTGAGGACTGGAACTCCTTTGTATTAGGGGTTTTGAACAATGTATTGCTTTAAGGGGGATATCCATATGGTATCCACCCTCACCAACTACCTTATCTTTGACATTTAAAATCAAATAAAAACTTTGACATTTAAAAAAAAAAAAAATTAAAATAAATAAATAAACAAATCAGATGTTCAAATAGCGTCAGTTCTTATCTGTCTTTCCTTCATCTGTCCATCACAGTGAAGCAGTTCTCCTCAGTATAATGCAGATCATGGCCATAGCAGCAGCAAGAGCACAAACTCGTGAGACCCGGGCCACGTTCATAAAGTTCTCCACCGTACAGACTCTCCATGTCAGCATGCACCCTGCCCTGAAGGCGGCCCCTGGCCTACTGGGTTTGTCGTGCCCTCAGACATGATGCTCTATCAACACCAATGAAGCCAAACGGGGCTGGATGTGTTCAGGATGGCTGAACAAGTGCTGCTGCTCTGGGCAATGGAGGAGAGGGAGGAAAAAAAAAAAAGCAGAATATGGCCAGACAGGAGTGTTGCGTTTTTCACTGGATATCAGTCAACAACTACATGCCTCCACTGGAAAGCTGCCTGCACTTTGTGGACTGAATTGTTTTCTGTAATGTTTTATGGTAATCTTAGGTCACATATTGTATTAAAAAGGATTAAAAAAAGAGTTTTGTAGCTTTTTAAGTGTTTATCAACGCTATGGTCAACTTTATATGCTTGAATAGGTGTTTAGTGTCTTATGAATTGATGATGAAGCACTTTGAAACGTTTATGGTTTTAAGTGTTTTTGATTGTTTATGTATTCAAGGCTGTTTTAAGATTGTGAAAAAATAAATTAAATATCTTCTTTGTGAAAACTGATTATGCTCTTCCTTTAGTTTTACTCGTGTGTCTGTATGTGAATGTAACCTTTTTTTTTTTTTTTTAAATAAAAAACCTGTGTAGGTTCGTTGCACTCCACTTCTCACATGACACTCTTAGCAGGAGCCTCGTGCAGGGTTGCCAGATCTTCAAGCTAAAGAAAAATGCGTATGCATGTTTGTTTTAAGTCTTTGATGTAAAATGTAGCTGCATATGTTAAGGTTGGGCTCAAAAGCATTTGGGATTAGAGAAATATGTCAGTGTTCTGGGTGTATGTGGAAGTGTAGAAAAGGCATATACCAAAAATGTATTGTGTAAAACATTACATGCACTATTCAGTACAAACCATTAGAGTTGACGATGTTACAAGGATGTCATGTTTTGTCGAATGAATTAAGGTTGTACAATAATATTAGGCTCAAATAATGTTGTATAGTTCCTCAGGTTTACAAATGGTAATTGTAGACAGAAACATGGGTGCAGATTTAATTAATCTGTATTTGACCTCTTATATTCACTTGTTGTGCAAGTTTATTTTATGTAAAATCACTTAATTCTGTATTAAGTGGGAAATGTCAAACCTGTAACCTCTTACCGTAAAAGTAGCTCATGTACACACAGAAGCACCGCGGACTTGGCAACTCTGTGTTCTCTTTTTTTTTTTTTTTTTCATTTTATGACGTCGACTGAACCGAGAGAAATTTTTCAACGGGCGCTGTTCACAGTAACAGACATGTGCGCGCGGCTTCGCAGCTCTCGCCCTCACATGTCCGCGCACACACGCAGCGCTGATTGGCTGAGCGGAGCGCGCTGCGTCATCCCGCATTGCGAAAACCACGTGGCGATGTAGTAGAACAGCTGAGCGCCGGAGCTCGGGCACATTTGAGAGGCGCGTGTGAAGCGCAAGATGATTTCACACAGACACATTTCCAAGGAGTTTTGTCCTCTGGTGTGTGTGCGCGCTCTTTCAATGACTGGCATTGTTTCACACGTTGCCATCTCATCAAACTCGAACGAGGGCTATAAAATATGGCGATGCTTTAAGGCACAGTTCACCCAAAAGTGAAAATTCTGTCTTCATTTAGGCTCAACACTCACTTTAAATGTTCTCTCTCTCTCTCTCTGTCTCTCTCTCTCTGTCTCTCTCTCTCTCTCTCTCTCTCTCTCTCTCTCTCTCTCTCTCTATATATATATATATATATATATATATATATATATATATATATATATATATATAGTGTGTGTGTGTCATAACAGTCAAAAATATGTTATCAAAATAACCCATTGAAAAATGGAATCTGATGCAAGAAAAGGCACCTTTCACCGTATTGTTATAGAGAAAACATGTAATAAGTAACTTATTTCAATCTTGGACCTTTTTCTTAAAAGAAAAAATGACCAATAAAAAGTTGAAGTACCAAATGCAGCCCATATTAATACTAATTACGCTATTGTTCATGAATTTTCCAATGTACTTTTTTTTTTCCTACAAGAGAGCCTAGTAAAAATTGTAAAAGTCTACATTATTATTATGTTGTTGTTGTTGGTTTCAAATGGCCAAATTTGGAGACTGAGGACTGCTGGCCAGTCTGTTATTTAATGAATTACAATACCACAGTGTTTAAATTTAAAATAATAACAGACTGCTATTTTTCCTCCTAGCAATATGTCATAAAGTAGCCTCTTCAATTTTTGGTACATCAGAAAGTTTGATCATACAAAAAGCTAATTTAGCAAAAAAAAATGCAGTATTTAAACCTCAATTAAATAGAAAATAAGTCGAATAACTGCAAAAATGTCCACTTTTTGAGAACTAAAGTGGGCATCAAGCTAGAAGCTTTATTTATATATATATATATATATATATATATATAAATTTGACAAAAATAGAACAATTCAACAAATGTTTAAATAAACTCAAAGGTTTGGAACCACATAAAAGCTAAAAAACATGGGTACATTTTCAAGCATGAACCACACACTATAGCCTATAGATCCAGATTTGTTATTTCTATCTATTAAATTTATTTTAAAATTTTAAATTACAAAACACTAAAGTTTCATGTAAACAATAAACAGCAAAAAAAAAAAAAAGATAAATAAAAAAAAACGTGCAAATAAACAACATGTCTATAATCAGCTCACTGTCGATGTATGCTTTACAGTAAACTTGTCAAATATATATAAAAATAAAACTTAATTCCTTATCTGCCCCACCAACAAAAAATGATGTTTGGATTGCATTTCTTAGGTCCTAATGTCACTCGTTAACACACTCAATGCATTTTTTTCAACACATCCCTTAATTTCCAAAATATCAACCTCTACCAAATGGTTGAAATGTCAGTTTATGGTAAAAGTACTGGAATTAATACATATATGAAAAATCACAAAGTATGAAGTGTAAGATCAATTTATAAAAAACACATCATATTAATCATTTTTGAATACTAAATCATTTTATTTTTTGAATTATGCCATAAAATATTTCAGATTCTCATTTTAACATGTTTTCTTTTTTTTTTTTTTTTTTTACAATAAAACCAAAATCAAGTGCAGTAGTGCAACAGGGTTATGTTTGTTTATTTGTATGTTTGTTTGTTTTCTTGGTAAACCAACAAAGCTGTGTGTGTGTGTAAACCATTATTTAACATATATTTAACAGTCATTATTCAAAACAGTCAAAACATGGTCAACGATTTGGTAGAGCAGGCAGTCAAAGAGTTAAAAGCATAGTTAAACTAAAATGGAGAACTCTGTCATCATTTACTCCTACATTCACTTCCGATGAACAAAAAAAGAAGATATTTTGAAGAAAGCTGCAAACCTGGAAAAATGAAAGCCAGTGGTTATAGGATATCAGCTTTTGTGTTCGAAAAATACATTAAATGTAAAGTAGTGCTTTCGCTATTTGAAATCTATAAAGCGTATTATAAGGACAACACTGACATTTCTCTAGTTTTTTTATTTTTATTTTTTTTAACCTTTTTTTTTTGTGGCTGATACAATACAGTGTAAAAAAAATAAAAATAAAGTTGCGTGTGATTATAGTTATCAGTGACATGTTCTTCAGCTAACACCGAGGCTGTTTCCTCCTGGCATTACATTCAATTCCACTGACAAGATCACAGGTTGTGAGCCCAGACACTTTACTTTTCCACTTGGTTTTAACGTGCATTCAAATGCATGTGTTCATATCTCCCAGAGACTCTCTCCTCTCATTTCTTCATGCAATAGGCTCTCTTTTGTGGAAGCACTCAACGTGATGCTAACATAGTCTTCTATTGAATGAATGAACACATTATGTGGTTTAGGAGTAAGCAGGAAAGCAGGCAAATTAAAGGTATAGTTCACCTAAATCTGAAAACTCAAGATTCACACACCATTTACTTTTCAAACATTCATTCTGACAAACACAAAAGAAGATGATTTGAAAAGTGTTGGAAACCTGTAACAATTGACATCTGCATTTGTTTTTCCTATATGGAAGTCGATGGTTACAGCTTTCTTTAAAATATCTTCTTTTGTGTTCAACAGAAGGAACAAACTGAAACCACTTAAAGCGGAGTAAATTTTAATTTTTGGGTGAACTGTCTCTTTAAAATAAACAAATGTGGATGCCAAGCACAAATTTGTGTGTTTGAATACCAAGATTGCAAAATATGATTACCTTTTGGTGGACTTTCTCACAACACGTATTACATCATTTTGTGGCTGTTCAAACATTCAACCACACGTTTACACTATCAAAGCAGTTTCATCAAATCAACTTCCAGCTACCTCTGGGAAAGCTCAAAACATTTCAGACTCCACTTACACGTTTACCATTCACTTGTCATTAAAGTAATCTTTAAACTGTTTGTAATGGGGCCTGAAATGGCCTTTCCTTAAAGGGATAGTTCACCCAAAAACTGACATTTTCCTGACCATTTCCTCACTCTTAAAGGGCCATGAAACCCCCTCATTTCAGCAGGGTGTTTTCACACCTCTACTTTGGAAAAAGTCTGAAAAGTGGGCGTGTCCAGCTCTGTTTAGGGGGGAGTGTCGGAGGAACTAAAGTGGGATGGTGTGGGAGTGTCTATTTGGGCACGCTGAGTTTCAGAGTCAAAACACACACACACATAGGGGAGAAAGTGTTTAGATGGACATCTGTAGTCGAATTATTTGCCAAATTATTAAATGGTGGACTTTAACTGCAGTTTGGCTCTTTCATTCAGGGAATTCATTCATCTCGCTCGCGACAAACGAGATATTTGATTCGAGGAACTGCTCTAAGCATGTATTTTTCATGCAATGTTTGATACCGCACGGCGAATGAGAGAAAAAAACCCTCAGCATTTCCCGGAAACTTAGATGCACACGGCAGGTAGCGTCAGAAAGCCGCGTGTGTTATTCCGGTCACAAAATGCGGTGAAAACCCTACACATGGTTAAAGTTTGGTTATAGTGCTATAATGTTTACACTCTGTGCAATAGTTAGTTCGATACGAACAAACTGAATAAACAAAGAGCACTGGTCGCTCACTTACCAAATCTGTAGAGACAGGACAATCAACAGCAGCTAGAGCCGCGTCTTTATTAAGAGGAGACTAAAGCGAATCCGGATCTCGTTTGCAGATGAGAACAGCTGTCAAGTAAACAATGTTCCTCCTTAGACACGTAAGTTATTGTTGTCGAGCGTCGCATACACCGTTAATCCACACGTGATCCAGCTGCGCTCTCACAGAGAGAAAATTAAAACAAAACTTAACTGCAGCAAACTATAAAAGCAACACTGCACGCTTGTTTTGCCAACACAACGTGGCGTCTCTGTCGTCTAAACACTGTGACAGTAATGAATATTAATGAAGTTGCACAATAGAGCGCACTCATTGGTTTGAACCAAGCCTTACTCATGCATTAATGCATCAAACTGTAAGACGTAATAAGACTCACTCTGGCACAGGCGTCCAGTCTGCACGATGGAATACAACGCTATTATCTCATGGCCGTGACGCA